ATTTATTTTTTTGATTTATTTTTACCAACACTACTAAAAAGAAAATTCATTTAAATACTTACCTTTTGTGTTTTCTCGATTCAACGAACATCCTTTTGCGATCGTTTCTCTGTTTAATTCATTAAATACTCATTAAATATTTTAGATGTCAGAGAAACAAAATTAATTGACAAGATATTTTCACTTTTAAAATCATGCATTAAAAACAAAATTAATTGATAAGACATTTTCTCTTTAAAACCAATATTTTCTCACGAGATGTTTTCCTTTAGCTTTATCAACAAGATATTCCAAAAATAATATTACCTTAAAAGTATAAGATTTATTGAGAATTTATTAGAGAATATGTTACTTTTTAGCTTATCATGCAAGCTAAATCATTGAGAAACGTCCATCAATTTACTATAAATAAGACATTCACAGTAGAAGAAATGAAATCATTGAACTTTGTATTCTGAACTTTTTATGTTAATAATATTCTGAATTTGCTTTTCTTCTTATTTTAGAACATTAAGCTTTTATATTTCATGAGAGCTGATTTTTCTTTTGGTTTATATGCAGATATCCTATTATGACGATTTCTCCACTGAAGCTATATATGATTTGATTGTACACCTCTTTGATATATCATTTCGATAACATCTTTGTTCCTCAATCTGGTAAAAAAAATTCTCTATTTAATAACATCTCTCAGCTATATCATCTCGTGAATAGATTGAGAGCTGATTTTTCTTTTGGTTTATATGCAGATATCCTATTATGACGATTTCTCCACTGAAGCTATATATGATTTGATTGTACACCTCTTTGATATATCATTTCGATAACATCTTTGTTCCTCAATCTGGTAAAAAAATTCTCTATTTGATAACATCTCTCAGCTATATCATCTCGTGAATAGATTGAGAGCTGATTTTTCTTTTGGTTTATATGCAGATATCCTATTATGATGATTTCTCCACTGAAGCTATATATGATTTGATTGTACACCTCTTTGATATATCATTTCGATAACATCTTTGTTCCTCAATCTGGTAAAAAAAATTCTNTGATAACATCTCTCAGCTATATCATCTCGTGAATAGATTGAGAGCTGATTTTTCTTTTGGTTTATATGCAGATATCCTATTATGATGATTTCTCCACTGAAGCTATATATGATTTGATTGTACACCTCTTTGATATATCATTTCGATAACATCTTTGTTCCTCAATCTGGTAAAAAAAATTCTCTATTTGATAACATCTTTCAGCTATATCATTTCAATAGCATCTTTTTGTGCTACCAATACTTTTTTTTTTATTAGTAGATTTATATTATCAATTAGAATTATAAGCTTATATATACATATATATTTCTTTGGTTTGCTGATTGTGATTTTGTTTTATGATATTTTTAATTAAAATTGATATATTTTTTTTGTTTGCAATTATATGATCTTTTTAATTAAAATAAAATATATATAGTAATATTTATTAATGAAAAATTTATATCAACTACTTTTTATATTTATTCTTTCCTTATTATATATAATTTAATATTTAAATATCTATAGTTTAAATGTAATTTACCTTAATTTTTTTAGTTTATTAATAACCTACCTTATTTTGAACACATATTACTTGTGCAACTTCAAATTATATTTATTGCATTGTTTTAATGCAATTTACCTCAATGTTTCTAATTTGTTAATTCATCTTTATAAACTTATTTTGAACACATATTACTTGTGCAACTTCAAATCATATTTATTACATTGTTTTAATGCAATTTACCTTAATGTTTCGAAATTGTTAATTCATTTTTAAAAACTTACCTTATTTTGAATATGATCTAATTGCACAAGTTTATAACATATTAATTGTAAATCATTTAATGACAATATAACTTTAATATTTTTCTTTGGACTGTTCCATTATTTCTTATGAAATTATATTCCTAAACATCATTTGTTATGAAAATATCTCCCTAATAACATAAGAAAAAAGGAAGGTGGAGTATATATAAAGGAGACACCTAAGGGATGTCAATACTAACTTATTAGTCTATTTTTATTCGATAAAAAAATTTGAATTTATAAATTCTTACATTTGTTTGTTTTTTCTATTAACAAATAAATAACACAGGTGAAAGACCTGTTGTAGTTAACTACAAACCATTTTTCAGTTTGTTTCAATAGCGATATGCAAATTTAATATTATTTTCGTCTCAATAAAATTTAGAAATCTATTAAATTATTTTATATCGTACAGTTGCTAACAAAATTTGACAATTTTTTGCAGGTTTCTATGGGATATTTTTAATTCATAACTGTTCTTCTTATTTTATATTACTTATGAGATATATTTAAAATTTTTATTACATTTCTTTGCAGGTTTCTATGGGATTGTGTTATATATTTCTATAGATTTACAATATATCAAAATCAAAACTATTTATTATTCTTTAATTTTATACTCATATTATGGTATTAGGAAAGATATACCTTGTTGGTAAAAGCTTTTAATTAGTTAATCCGTTTATTAATAACTTGCCTTATTTTGTTATCAATTACTTGCGCAAGTTGATATGTCAATTATTGCAAATTTATGACAGTCAATTTTTAATATCTTTCTTTAAATTGCTTCATGCCTTATTTTAAATTAATATAACTTGCACAAGAAAACTAATATATAATTCAAATCAGCTTATGATATTGTAGATCTAATAAATTTCTTTATTCAGTTTAAATATTTATTATAAAAAATTAATATTTCCTGTCTTGCCTTCTAAATCGGTATTACACTTTATAATTGCTTAGATTTTATAGTTACAATAGCATACTAATGAGATGAACTATTTCTCTTGCAGGTCATGATGTTGCAGTCCTTAGGTGATATTTCCTTGTGGTGATTTTTCAGGAACTCATTTGTCCAAAAGAAAAAACCAAGAAGATCATGACAGTAACCTTGGAGGATCAANAGTTACAATAGCATACTAATGAGATGAACTATTTCTCTTGCAGGTCATGATGTTGCAGTCCTTAGGTGATATTTCCTTGTGGTGATTTTTCAGGAACTCATTTGTCCAAAAGAAAAAACCAAGAAGATCATGACAGTAACCTTGGAGGATCAACACTCTGTCAACAAAAAACATTCCCACAAAAAAATCAAGGGCGAGTAGTCTCAAATTTTTTAAAAAAATATTTATTTGTGAATAGTTTACAGGAACAACACATTTAGTCTTTTGTCACTATCCGCGTTATTCATTATTATTTATTTCAAATAAAAACACATTGAGTCTTTTCTTGTGCTCATGACAATTTTAAAATAATTGCATTGTAATAACACTCATGTTTTAGTAATAATCTGCTGGAAGAGATGAAATTATCTAATTTTCGTTCTAATGACATGTTATTATTTAGTCAATGTATTCGTTATTGTTTTTTTTAGTTATATTTTTATTAGATTATTTTTTTCAGATCTCAATATATAATAAGGTCATTTTTATAGTTATTATTATCGTCATTTAACAATTATATTATTACTTGTTTATTATTTAATTCTCACAACTTGCCTTGAATGAAAAATATGTCCACATTTACCACATTAATGATTACCAATTAATGATGATTACAACATC